CCGCTCCAGATTTCTCATTATAAGTTTTTTTAAATCTTACACAAAAATAATACTCTTAAAACCAAAAGGCACAGAATTTCCAGTCGTATCTTAAGCAATGAGGAGTTAGCAAGAAAAAAAGCTTAAGTTTATATATTTGCTATCCTTGCTTCTTGTACTAATCCTTTTACATAAAAATTTTCAGTTTTGACTGCACTATCACATGCAGCACACTAAGACTGACATTACAGATCTGATTTTTGTTCAGTAAGATTAACATAGTTACCGACACAGATGATAGAATAACAGAAGCTATACTACACTTAGTCTACTAAGCTCTTTCACTCTTAAACTGAAAGATTCTAGGCACTTAGTTCTCTGAGAAACTTGTTTTAACCATGTCTGAGTTACCTAACTATGATTTGTTCTATTATTAAAAAACAAAATCAAGAGGAACACCAGACATCCATCTCTCTGCTGGATTTCAATTCTATAACCGATGTATAGGTAAATCAGCTCGAAAGCAGAGAATATCTCTACGTATGGAGAGTCTGCCTCAGAAGCACTTTCTTAACCACATCATTCTTTACGAGTGCAAGAAAACCTGAACCTGCACTGCCTGGACCGCCCGCATATGCAAGGTCAGGGATGTGAGTATCTGTCAGGACTGTCACTGTGTCCAGCTAACTGCTTCCTTCCACTGCACCGGCAATTCTACTTTTAAGACTGCATTGGAAGAATCTTACCAGTATTAGGGATATTAATTCTGGGCCCAGATACCTCAGTATCAGTCATTTTCTCTACAAAGTAGTTACCATAGAATAACTTGAAATGACTATGTTAGAGACTTCTACTTAACAAAGATACTGGCTCCTTTAAGACAAGAACATAAAACTGACATAAATAAATAAGCCAGCGCACCATTACAGCTGTGATTTTTAACACGCAAGTCAGAAAATTCAAAGCTGTGGTCTCTACAGCATCATTACATTACACATGCTATGGCAACACAGCAAATGCTATATACAGTAGGAAAATGCTACATATTCATGCACTGTTGCCAAGTTATAGCTGCCATAGGAACCATAATTTGCTTTTTCCGACTTGTTTAGAATCCCACCTACAACACCGCTGATTAACTGATAATTTAGATAAACTTGTACAAGTATTCCACATTACTTTTGCTGGAAAAAATCTGTTCAATGAGAACACAAGAACTCTAGCACAGCTCTGTTCAATGACATCTATACACAGCCAAGGCTGCTAGTCATGACATACGCTTTGTAAACTATTTTTCAGCACGACCTCGACAAGCTGCCTCTCGTGATGTGGGTTACTGTTCTGGAGAGCAGCAAAATTTTCTTGTGCAAACTAGTAAAAAAATGAATTAAGTTAGGTTGGGTAGAACTTCAGCAATATTTTACACAATTCAGCTTCCAGTACGCAGTGACCGAAGACAAACATTCAAAAGTGCAGGGACATAAACCTATCAGCATTTGTAACCAACGACATACAAGCAACATTTGCTGGATCCAGTAAAAAAATGACAACAAACAAAAGTACAACTGTTACTGTGTCTTAAGTTAAATACCCAATATTAAGGGAATATCATTCTAAACAAAAATAATTGGTAAAAGTTACGCATTCCCTCATAAAAGTCCCATCAGGTTTAAAACATGCTGTCAAAATGTTGTCACTAAACCGCTTTGGTTACAAATGGCTATTCACAGGTTTTGTTTTATTTTGCAGAGGCGTTCTCCCTGTTCAAGTGACTGAATCCTTCTTCCTTCTAAATGGTGACTTCAGTCTTTTCCACACGCTGCTTTTAGGTTTTGATTTTTTTTCCATTGCCATTACTGCTTCTTTTTCTTTCCTGCGGATTTCTCGCACAAGAGCATGAAATACATCATCAATATAATAACGGTATGCAGCTGAAGTTTCAAAAAAAGGGCAGTTGAATTCTCGTGCTAAAGCAGAGCCTTCTTCTTTGGAGACCTGAAAAAAAGAGTTCACACTTGCCAAGAAAGCCAAAACCAGAAAGTTTATTTCTTTACCATTTCTTGTTCTGCTTGCTCTATAACTGTGCATGCACCCTCCTAGTTCCAGAACAGCTAATTTCCACTGATCTCTAAATCTTTCTCTACAAACCTGTTTCTCTTTCACTCATCGCTTCTCTAGCAATGCAATCATCTGCAAGAGACCCTCTGGACATTCATGAAACAATAAAGTCCTTGAAAGAATATTCTTTTCTTGGAGCTTAATCTAGAAGTTGCCTAACGTGAGCAGTCCTCAGCCCTAACACAAGCATTTGTCAGTTTGGTAAGCTAAGGCTATTTCCTTCTCCTGGTCAAAATCTATTATATTTGTCAAACTACTTCCCAGAGCCAAGCCAAACCTTTTGGGGAAAAAACAAACAAACAAACAAACAACCCCAGGCCACAGAAAAGCAACACCCACTCCTCATCCTATACTTTACATCTCTCGGCACGGGTGTTCTACAATAGCTACCATAATTTTCCTGCTACAACGCGCACTGAAAATTCATCTAATTCCAGGTATACAAACAGCACCTCTGGAACTTGTTTTCCAAAGTACGTTTCCTTTGAGTGAAGCTCTGCTTCAAACTGTTTTCCCACAGATGGTAGTTACTGTTTTCTTAAGCTGAAAGTAATTTTGCTTTCTGCCCATTCTTACCCAAGTTCTCCATTATTACGCGTCCATTCTTAGCACACTTGCATCTGCAATTTGTACTAGTATCTGCAAGTGGTTTATGGAATGCTAAATCTCTATTAACAGTACCTCCTTTCAAGAATTAAAAAAAAAAAAAAAGGAAAAGCCCAAGAGCAGCTGAAACCCAAAGCATCAACTTGAAGACTTCACTTTTGTGACTGCTATACGCATTTGGTTATTCAACACATTCTGGGTTAAACAAGTACTTCTCTAATGTTACAACTTACTATATAGTAAACATGCAAAAAAATTAAGAAAGGGAGTATAACCTCTTGTATTACTGCATTTTACAACAGAAATAGCTTGTAGTTGTGGGCCTCTCTTGTGCCATTTACCTGCCGTAGCTGTGTCAGATCAGATTTATTTCCCACTAGGACCACGGGAGTGTCATCAGTGCGTCGAACACGATAGATTAGCTGTTTGAACTCACGCACTTCATGGAAACTGCGCCGGTCTGTGATTGAATAACAGATGATAAATCCCTCGCCAGCCCTCATGTACTGGTCTCTCATGGCTGTAAACTCTGCCTAGAAACAGACAATTACATTTCAATTGCACAGATACAATGACTTTCTAATTTCCTCAGAATGGGAAACACAATATGCATTCCAAAAACAGCTGCATAGGAACTCTGTAAACAAGCTGGTCATCTATCTTCTCATCCTGTTAGATACAGGACAAGCTATTATGTATGTCTGGGATTAACACCAAGCTTCCCTCGCTATAGAAATCATACCAACATGTCATTTATCAGCAAATACATATTGCTTGTTGATCATGAACAGAGAAAGCAGTGCATGAAACCAGAGTTCCATCTGAGCTGCCTAAATATAGATAGTATGATACAGATGCTATAAGCAACGTGATGCTTAGAAGTTGAGAGAGCTCAAAAAAACATTTGGAAGAAAACACAGGCATACTTTTACAGGATTTCTGTCTCTACACCTGACCATTACAGACTTCTTAACATCCTCCCAATTCACTTATTATTACTCACTTACCTGTCCTGCTGTGTCCAAGATATCCAGATTGGCAGGTTCATCATCAATGCGTATTCGTATTTTATAAGCATCCTCTGTCAATTCACGGCACATCGGAAAGCACAAGATTGGAATATAATTGCAATACTCATTCGTCATCAATTCACAAAGAGAACGTTACACTAGAAGAACCTAATCTGGTAATATTACTATACTAAATTAGTCTGATCTTTGCTTAACAACAAATTAAATTTTTAATTGTTCTGCTGTGATTTAATATCCTCCCAACCGTTTGCTAAAATCATGCTATTGTACATGCTATTTCTAACAGACATGCCCACATCCTATAAATTCAATTTTGGACACCTTGGTGGAAAGCGCAGATTAAAGAGCATTACATTTTTCTCAAAGCCAGAAAATACCCGTGATTCAAGAGAAGAATTGGCCACCACCAACTGCCATTTTCTTAAAAGTAAGAAAATAAATATTCTGTCCCTCTAAGTTAGCACTCCCACACTGCAACAGTCGCTTTCAACAAGAAGCTGGCTGTTTTTCCCACTTTTCCTTTGACAGTGTAACTGTTGGTTAAGGTTTCTCTTAGAGGTGCTGCAAAAGTTATGCAACAGTATAGTAAGTTGTTAAGCACTTTCATATCTCCTAGTTTCTAAAAGACAGAGCACAATTTGGCCTGAAAAATTAATAGCAGAGAGCTGATTTACAGCATGGAGAGTAGATTTTTTTGAATAGACAACTAACAATCACTTATCAACAGTTTTTCATCCTTGTCTACCAACATACAAACAAATATATAGTGCATGGCCTGAAATACGTGATAGAAAACCCATTAAAGACCTAAAACTCAGGATACGTATCCCAGTCCTCACAGCAGTCTCGGAATTCTTAATACCTTTAAGTGAGTAATCTAAGGGACCTGATCCCTCAGTTTACAGCCAAACTCATAGCTTTCTTTAAACTGAGTACTTTAAAGCAATGGACCCCACAATAGCTTAACCTGCTAAGAGAAGGAGCGAACAGCAAAGAGAAGAGAAAGATTTTTTTTACCAATTGTGGGATCGTGATCCTCTGGAAACCGGTGACTGATGAACTGCATGGTCATGGCTGGAAACAAAAATCAGAGACACGATTGCACAAGGCTCGGTAAACATCTGCCGCTTCAGCATTCAGTGCACAACACGCTTGAGCGCATTATTTCACTAACAGCTAAAACGTAAAACCGTACTCGGTGCAAGACTCGAAAGAAACATGGTAAACGAAACAGGTTAAATAACTCAGAAACACTGAGAACTACGCCCTTGTCCTCCACAAAGCACTCCGCTACGAGTTTCAGAAACAAAGCTGGACACAGTCAAAACGCGGAAGACGATGACACACCGCGCTCCCGAGACACCGGGGGGGG